CGGGGGCTGCCGTAGGGATTGTTTCCTTGTACTTCATCCAGAAACACCTCTTCCCTTACTTCTGGGCATACCTGAGACACCTGCTCAAAGTATTCCCCTAGGGGCTCTGTCACCGTGCTGGATGCGTTCGCGAAGCCGGCGGAGAAGCAGCCCCACAAGCCGTTCCTCATTACGAAGGGAAGGTTCACACCTGCCGGGACGTGGAGTAACAGGGTAGCGCAGGTCTTCCTGCAGCATGGGGCTGTGAGAAATGGAGACACAGCGACCTTGCTGATGAGCAACGAGCCAGACTTCATCCACGTGTGGTTTGGACTGGCCAAGCTGGGCTGTGTGGTGGCATTCCTCAACTTCAACACCCGCTCCAGATCTCTCCTGCACTGTGTCAGCAGCTGCGAGCCCAGGGTACTGGTGGTGGGAGTAGGTAGGGTATACACCTCATTCCCGCTTCCAGAGTTTTTTATGTCCCATGTGTATGTGCCTCCAGCTCCTTTATTGAAAACCTAATTTTGAGATGTGTGCAGAATGAAACACAGGGATGGAAGGGGATTCAAGAGATCATAAAACTTAAGTGTCTCAGGCAGAATCAAGAATATCTATACTTTGTGGACATCCATTTAACCATTTCTTAAAATCTGCGTATTGCAAGAGGGGCTTCATCATCTAAGTACAGCTGGTTCCAAGTGTTTTGTTGCTTCAGTAGTTGCCTAATTTGTCTCTGAAAATATTACCTATTGAAAGTAATTTTCCATTTCTTAAATAGTCAAATTTAATCTTAATTAAGTCATGTACTTTACTCTCAGGACTATCTCCCTATCTTTCTACTATTCAAAACCACTGCAAAACTAGGTGTAATCAGGGTGTGCAACCTTGCCTGTTCAGCTGTTTGCAGAGGTACCGTAGTTTTCCAGGAGCTAAAGTTTTGAGGGTAGGGCACATAGAATGTTGATTTGTAATAACCTGCAGTAATAACTTACTGTAGGTATTGGATTGTGGAAAAAATTGCTTTGTGTGAATACAGATAGTAGTGTGTGTTGTGCAAGTTTCCAGAGTACTACATTTTTATTTAATGCTTCAAAAGAGTTTAAAATCCTGATGTAGGCATGCTATACATTGCATGTTCAAATTGGGCTTCAGTTCTAGAGGTGTAAACTGAAGACAGATCCAAAACCTAAACTCGGCACAGCATTTATGATCAAGTGGAAAAAGTGCTGAAACATCACACAAAAACTTGACATTTGGTTGGGGGAAAATATTGCATACACACTTTGGAGTGTATGGATTGAGGAGTGGAATTAATGTTCAGGAACTTCTTGCTCATTGACTGGTGAAGGGGATACTTGTATCTAAGAGAAGTTTTTATTTAAATGAGAGGTTACGGCACAGCATTTATGATCAAGTGGAAAAAGTGCTGAAACATCACACAAAAACTTGACATTTGGTTGGGGGAAAATATTGCATACACACTTTGGAGTGTATGGATTGAGGAGTGGAATTAATGTTCAGGAACTTCTTGCTCATTGACTGGTGAAGGGGATACTTGTATCTAAGAGAAGTTTTTATTTAAATGAGAGGTTAGCTAATGAATGGAGGTTTGCAAA